ATGTCCCTATTACTTACCAGGGGAACAACCTTCTGCCAATACACCCCCAGCAAGATGCTTCTGGGCCAGGGGCTCATGGCTTTCACCCACTGTGTGGAGAGGGCCCCGTCAGCAGAACGAGCAAGGCGGGGGGTGGGGGGGGGGGACTGAGAGGAGGACAGAGTGGGAGGGGAGAGACCTGACCCCAAAGAGCTATTTCAACAGCTATTTGCAGAGTTGATCCAACAGTATCAGACTCTACAGAAACTGGGTTGATTTTCTGTGGAATATTAGCTACATTTTCAAAACCAGAGCCCATAGCCGATTAGCTAGGATACGCTGCAGAGGGTGAGGCTGGCCTTCTTACCAAAGAGACACAGGCAGGCCAGGGAGGCAGGCAGGTCACCATGCCATGTCATTTCAGAAACCTCCCATTTATAGAAAAGGAACTTTGCCAAAAAGTTGCTCACGTCATCCGGGAGAAGGATTAGCCAGAGTCCTGACAGACAGCAGGCAGCAGACAGGAGAAAAGCAGGCGGGGAGTGTAGAGTAACTGCAGGACGTTTCTTTGTCAGGATACCGAAAAGTTTCTGTGCTGGGACCGGGGAAAGGACCAGTGGGTGGTGCAGGGGTCAGGAGCCCCTGGGAGGAGAGTTCTCTGCCTTCATGCGAGGGGAGGCACAGGGGGGCCGCGCAGCTCGCTCATGGCAGCATCTGCTGGGCACCTTCTTGGTGCAAGCACCACACTGGGCTGGCAGGGGTTCTGGCAGGATGTGTGTTCACCATTTCACCACCACACTTTGTCATCTACGCTCCTCCTCCCCTGGGCAGTCTCACTGACAGCACCACTGCCCACCCAGACCAGAGCCCCTGGGTCCCTACGGACTTCCTCCTCTGCAGGGATGGTCAGGTGCTAACCACACCCCTCCACTGAGCCCCGCCATGTCCTGCACTGCCCAGTTTGGCATGCACCCACCCCAACCCCCACCCCACACCTGCCTCCTGGCCGCTGCTCCACCCAGGGGCCAGCTTGTTGTGCTGAACCAGCAGGCATCCCGGTGACAAAGCACTTGAGGTCCCAGACCGTGAGCACGAGCACGAAGCCCAAAGCCCAGAATGGCCCCGAGGCCCTTAGATCCAGCTTAGCCTGATTTTTGGCTCCGTCTTCTGCTACTTCCCTTCCTCCTCACCTGGGCTTTAGTTACTATGAATGAGTATTTGCTTTCCTGGAAGCACTGCAGGTGCCCACTGACTGTGATAACAGAGTAGAGTGGGGACGAGGCCAACCACCGGTGCCCGAGTCCCAGCTCCCCCATTGGCTGTGTGAATCTGGACAAGTTACACGGCTTCTCTGGGCCTGGGCTCTCTCATCTCTCCTCGAGTTCCAGCCTTTCTCTTTTGTCTGCCCTTTCTCTCCTGCCTCTGGCCCTGGGCCGGGGAGTTCCTCAGCCTCCAGTGTAGCTCTCAGCATGGGAGGGAGCCGCACCACGCTCCCCTCAGGATCCCCAGCCCCGCACAGGGCCGGCACACAGGAGCCACCCCAGTGGGGTGGACTCGCGGATGGGACTTGTGCAGAGGGCCAGGGACATAACGCCGTGTGCTGCCCCCACTGCCTCTTCAGGCTGAGTTCTGGGGCAACGTTATTAATTCTCTTCCTTGCTTTCTGGCCATTTTTAATTTCATGGGGAGTCTGAGTCTCAGAGAGGAGTGGGCTTTTCTGCCGGTCGCTAGGAAGCGCTTGGAATGGCTGGGCAGCACCCATGAGTTCTTAATGCAGCTGAACGCCCCTACTTTCTCTTTCATCAGGCACCCACTGCGCACCTACTCCTACCAGGCAGCGTGCCAGTGTGGGGCCCACGCTGACACTGTCCTGCCCCATGCTGCTTGCCGGTGACTGGGTGGGAAGACCCTACCTAAGCATGAGGTGATTCCCATTGTGTGGGGCTGGGGAGGGGCCTGGCGCCAGGGCTGAGCAAGGCTCCTCATTCCCAAGTCCGGTCAGCTGAGGCCAGGGCTGCAGCCCTGAGGTGTATGCTGAGCCCTCGCTGGCAGGGCGGGGGTGGGGGTGGGGGACCGCACTCCAACCACCCCGACTCCTTCCCTGGGACCGTGGGTGAGCTCGTGTTAGGGACGGCTCTCCACCTCATTAATGAGCAACACCTGCCGGCACCTGGCAAGCTCTTCTCCCAGCTGCCCCGTGTTCCCGTGGCCTTGGCACCAGCTCTGTTTGCGCTGAATCTTCAAGGATAAGCTTTCCACGCAAGGCATTCTTTTCTTGGCTCTTGGACTTTAAAGAGCCCCTGATGAAATACATCAGTACTACGCCCCCCTCTCCCCCATAAGCATCCACCTTTATAATAAGAGCAGATCTCTTGGGACTTGCTGAGCTGGGAAATAGCTCAAGATTGCCTGTTCCTCTTTCAAAGCCCGTTCTGAACCTGCCGGGTGCCATTGCTGGCCCCACTCCCAGCGAGCGAATCATTCTGTCCTCCCTACTAGCTCCATGCCTGGGGCAGGTTTCTATGGTTACACTCATCACAGCGTATTTGCTGTATTTGCTACTTTATCTTCTCTCCTTTTAGCCTCTTGGTTAAATCTCATTCATTTAGCATCCCCAGCAGCGTGCTACACATGGTAGATAGATGCCCAGTAACTCCCTATGGGAGGAGGCAGGAAGGAGGGAAGAATAGAGGAAAAGAATCACGTCTAACCCCTTTTATATTCTGGATGAAGAAACCAAGGCCCAGAGAGAGGGTGACGCTCCAAGCTGCCAATACTAGCGAGAGGAAGAGAGGGGACTAGAACTCAGAACCTCACGTCCGATTTAGTGCCTGCTTTGCCAGCTGGGCTGCTGACCCACACAGAGCTCCTTTGCATGAAGCAAGCCACCTGGTGTCTGGGCCAAGCCAGGCCTGGAGTCCCTGAGAACAGCAGGGCAGCTCAGAGCTGTTCCCACAGGCTTCATCCTTGACTGGTCTCATCGGCAATGGCCTGTGCGGACCAAATGTGCGTCCTCCTCCAGTATGGGCCTGTCCTCCAGTGTGGGCCTGTCCCCCAGCAGCCTGACGGCCAGAGGCAGAGATGCCCTGAACACCTTGGGGGGCTTGTGACTTCAGCACCCTAAGAAGGAGCACAGCAGAAACACCAAGCCCGGGCCCTCACCCGGTCTTTCTCTGATGACATGCCTGGGAGGCAGGCAGGGCCCTGCTCCATGGGAGGAGGCTGGACCAAGTGAAGGTCTATGTAGCCTCTGTAAAAAGCGGGCAGAGGCTCTTTCCTACCAGTGGCCCCTAGGGGTCCTGGGGGGCTGTGTGGATGCTCTCCAGCCCCCTCACTCCCCTGGCCAGGAATGAGTCCCCCAGCACCTCTGCTTCCTGTCCTGACCCATGTCCCCCTTAAGGGAGCCCACAGGTTTCCTGGAGGCGGAGCCCCCACAGGAAGCACAGTGGCCTCTGCCAATGCCCGGGCAGGACTTCAGAGCAGAGGAGCCGCCCCAGGCCAGGGAGCCGCAGGGTCCCCAGCTCTCTCACAGCCTGGCACAGCTCCTGGGAGGTTGGAAAAGTTTTGATGGTTAACACAGCCAGGCAGCTAATTAAAATAATAAATTAGAGAACAACATTGCAGGGAGCTGTGCAGAGCTGAGTAGGAAATGGGAGGGGGAAGAAAAGCCACATAGGAAAGCGTGGGTCACACTTCTGTCTCGGGCCATGAAGGAGGCACGAGAGTTGGCATTTTGGTTTCTGATGCAGAGCTGTAGCCAAGGAGCCTCTCCTGCTCAATGAAATGGTCATGATCAACACGGGGTTAATTGAAGTGCAAGGCGGTGGGTGGGAGTCAGGGACAGGGGATGGTGAAGGGTGGGGGCTCAAGCATGGGTTGAATGTGGGGGGTAGGGGTCCAGAGGTGGGGTGGAGCTTAGGTGCAGGAAATAGGTGTCCACTGTGACGCTGCTTAAGTCTTGCTTATATTATTTATACTCTGCATGTCTGAATGCCCCTACCGTCCTTGATTGCTCCATCAACCTTGAACTTTGGGGACATTTTTAAATTCCACACAAGCATCACAGCAGTGGGACTAAGGCTGTGATTGTGGGTCAGTGGTCTGTGGAGATGGGAAGAGTACCGGACTTAGAGTCAAAAACCCAGAATTGACATAGAACTTTGCCAATCATCCGAGCCTCAGTTTTATAATCTACAGAATGGGAATGAAGATAGTTATAGAGTGGTTGTGAGAACAATTCGGTTGTATAAAATTATTTGTAACCTTCAAATTATGCTACAATGGCAGCTGGTGGAGACTTGGTTTAAAGTCTCATCAAGACCCCCTGCCTGGTGCATGGTCCCTGGCACCTGAGTCGTGCCTCATCCAGGTGGAGGTGATGGCTGCTCCCACCATCCCACTGCTCTGCGTTTCTCAAACTTTGGAACGCTAATCCCTGTGTGCCCCCAAAAGACACGGCAGGAAAGTGTAGGACTTGGAGCTGGAGGCAACAGAGCCTGGAGGCCAAGCACACAGGCCTAGGGGGTCAGGGCTGTGAAATAACTGTGGTGGGTTGTAACCTGCCCTAAAAAACAAACCCCCAAAACAAACCAAGCACCACAAAATAGAAGAGAACATATCAGAGTGCAGTAGGTCAGTAAGGGTAAGCTTAGTGCGTTTCTTTGCTCCAATA